ATTAATTCACAGACAGATTCATGATTTGATGGTATTATTGTAAAGTGGTGGCTACTAGGAGATGCATCTAGGTTGGAAGATGTAGGCCATTGGAGACAGTCTTTGGAGAATCTATCTTGCCCTCTTTCCTCTCTTTTTTCCACCATCCCTCATGTCTACTAGAATGAGAGATCCTCTCTATGACCCTCTTTGCTGTGATGTTCTACTTTGCCTGAGGCCCAAAGCAACAGAGCCAGAAAACTGTGTCCTAAAGCTTATGGAACTGGGAATGAAAAGAAATCTTTATTTCCTTGATTTTTCTGATCTTTCGCAATAAGAACAAAATAAATTAACTCACACATGCAAATAAGTATTTTGTAGCAATAGCATTTTTATTTAGCCTCAGATGTAAACACTAGTTTGCGAGTGTTTAATTAATGATAAAACAGAATTTGAATGAATGTCAATGATGAAAGATTCAAAATTAAAGCATCAAGTTAAGAAAGAACTGTGGGTTATGTGTGAGTTAATTAGAGAAGAATATGAAAAAGGTGGTGTGATAAAGGTAAGCAGAGGCCAGAACATTTGAAAGAGTGTTTTTAAGAGCAGCCAGTAGGGTACTGGACACCATACACATTAAGAGGGCCAGTAGGCCATGCAGAAGCAGAGAAAAAAGATGAAGGACAGTTGTCCTTTATCCATACTTCTTGGCTTCCATGGATGGGTTCCTTCCTATAAGCAGTGCTAAGCTGTGTTCCTTTGTGCATAATTCACTCCACTCCTCCAGATTCTTTCAGTGGGTTGATAGTCACTTGACCCTAGTTAGAAAGGGACATTTCCATTTCTACCCTCAACTACCACCTTGATCAGTGTTCTCTTTACTATCTACATCAGGACCCCCATGTCACAAATGTCTTTCAACCAGTCTCAGCTAGTTTTCCATGGGAAAAAAAGAAACCTGGAATTTTAAGGCATGAGAAGAAGAACAACTTTAAGCCGAACTCACAGGTTTGTGCAACTCCACCAAGAAGAAACCTTGTAGGCCAAATACATGGTATGCAATATGGAAAAATTAAAAAATTATAAGAAAATTATTTTAAAGTGAGAGTTAATATTTATTAATCACCTACTTTGTACAAAGTATTTTACAAACATCAAAATCATCTGCTCTTCACAATAAATGCTCACATGGGTAATGTCAACTCCCTTTTTCAGATGCAGTTAATGAGGTACAGGATTTTATTTAAATAGCTAACACATAGTCTCATAGACAAAATTTGTGAGGAATATGGGAAGAAAAGAACTAAGAACAGCCTATGAAGTAACAAAGGGGAGAAGGCTTCACTATCAGCTTGATAAAATCAAATGTTTAAGTTTCTAGCTTGCATTTGCTTAGAACCACAAGGATTTACACACACACACACACACACACACACACACACACACACACACACACACTCTCACTCACTCAGGGTAGAGTTATTCTGATCCACCTGCATTTTCCTGTTGACTTTTGTGTCACATTTGTGGGTCTGCCCAAAGTCAGATTTTAAGCTTTTCCTCAAGAAGGACACTGTGTTTGGAGCTTCCAAACAAGTTCTTATAACAGGATACTGGCCAATGTCTAGGGCCTCACCAGGACACTAACCCAAAGCACAAGGAACTGATTCATTAGATGACTAAAATCCACCCAACCTATTTGAGACGGGCCAATCCTCAGCCTTACTTTAGGAAACCTAGCAGCTAGAGATGAAAGATATTCTGGAGATCAACAACATGAGCTGCGACCCCTGGTATCCCATCAGTGGGGTTACCCCTTCACAAGCCCACCCTCGGTGAACCAGCACCCCTAGAGCTAATGTCAAACAGCTGGGTTTGATACTGAAAACTTGATGAGAGTTTCTCCACTGAAGTATTTAAGGAACTTAAAAGGTTGCCCAAAGACGGAAAAAAAGAGATGAAAGAGACAGGTCTAGGTTTTGCTTTTCTGTTTTTTCTAAGCAACTTGAAGCTCTTCTAAAAATGGGATAGGATTTCAAGCCCATGATGATACCCATGTGATGACCACAGTCACGTTACAGCCCTATCCGAATGTAGTAACTATGGAAGAAGCCGGTCCCTGCTGTTCCTACTCATTTCTAAAAGCCAGCAGAGAACTCATTTCTCAGATCCTTTGTAGCCACAGGGAGCCCAGAGAACTTCACAAAAATATGTCCAAAAGTTAGCATGTGCTGCACGCTGCCTCTTCCTAACATGGCCATTTGGGTAAAGCCCTGGAGAATGAAAGAGTTAAAGTTCTGCAGTTTCAGAACAACCAGTTGACCTTTAAATGTGCTGGTTTGAGTCCAATCACCTTTCAACAAGCATGAAATCTGGCACAGGGCGAACTATAACACACCAATTATTTTCATGGTGTACATGACCGAGCTCACAGCGTACGTTTAGCAAAAAGAATAATGTTCTTTTTCCAAAGGCAGACTTAGTGGCTGAGCACCTCTGTTGGAAAGATTTTTCCTTTGCTAACCATCTCCGAAATTGTTATTGGACAAGCCTTGCCTTGAAAAAGCACAGAACCTTGAAGAAAATAATTCTGTGCTTCTCTTTAAAATCTCCATATAAAATAGTATCCCAGACTTTTGGTATATCTGAAATAAAAATAACTGGGAAAGAATTATTAACATCAGTTATGAATTTTGCAACCAAATACTTAGCAGGGGAAAAATCTGAAGTTAAGTGTTGTAATCTCAGCGCTCTAGAGGCAGAGGCAGGAGGATTGTTAAATTCAAGTCCAGACGGGCATATCAAGTAGGACCTTCTCTCAAAAAGAGAAAACATTCCAGAATCAGTAAGGGGGTAAAATGTTGGCCCCTACTGTGAGGAAATTTTTTAAAATCCAGAAGTTCAAAGCCTGGAAGAACATCTACTCCCGGAAATAATTCTTTGCTGTTAAAGGGTAATTCTCATGGGAGTCCTTTAAGTGGTGAGGTTTCCTTGTGCTTTAAAAAGTAAAATTCAGGCTGGAGAGATAGTTCAGCCATTACAGGCTAGGCTCACAAGCAAAAATATAAAAAGTAAAATTCAATTTACAAACATTTCACCATCAGCCTCTAAAAATAGTAAAATACAATAAACATTGCATAGCTTATTTTGGGGTCATGTGCAGAGATACACACCCTACATGGGTGCTGAGCCATGATGCCTTTTTGCCTATGATCACTGCAACTATATGTCCTTTCTTGCCTCTGTGTTTTAGCCTTGACCTCCAAGTTCTCATGGGTGTCCCAAGCACTCCATTTCCATCGGTGCTCGCTCCTAAGTTGGTCAGTTACATGGAATCTTAACCTCCACATCTAACCCACAGTCAAGCCCAAATCTAAGTTTCCTTGGGTTTTGCTTGTTCCTTATTTTGAAATTTGAAAATCATGTATTTCAAGATTTATAATTCTAGAAAGTCAGCAACACAGTCATACATTGTTTTCTCCACATGAACTATTGACAACAAAATTTAACTTAAAATGTACATTTCCAGGACTGACTAGAGCTTCAATAATAACAACCACGAGAACTGCCTCATGTTTAATCCTCCTCTTTGGGACTGTAGCTTTGGAGATGGCAAATCTCAAAATCCTCTGTGATGCATACTCTAGATTGAGACCTCTGCTGTCTGGGCCCATGTCTGCCAAACCCTCCCTTCCCTGATATTTCATTTCCCCCTGTCTTCTCCTCTTTTGTAAGTCCAGAAAGAGAAAGGTCAGGATCTAACAGCCATGAGACTAGCAGCCTGTGTGTGGGTTGTGGCCTAAGGCCAACAACCAGCTCACCACCCACCCACCACTTCTGCTTTAGAGCAGGAGAGGGAGCGGCTTGATTCAGGAAGAACAGCCACTGTGTGGCTGGAGACTGCTCACAGACAGGTCAGGAAAACACCTGTTGGCCTTGGGCCCTGACACAGAAGGAGGACCCTTGGAGTTTCTTGTCAAGACAATATGGTTGTATGTCTGGTCCTGAGACCTGCTCTAGAATCTGAGGATCCTCTCCAGAGTCCAGACCGAGCAAGTCATTTCATAAACTTGTGAAACAAGGCAGCAGCCACGATTTCCACAGCCTCCCTCCCTAGATTCCTGGAGTTCCACCACTGACTTCTAAGCAGCCACTAATCCTGACCCCTCTGTCCTGGCTACATACTCATACGGACACCAACTCACAAGTGACTTCCCCACCTTTATTTACCTTACCAAGATTGGGATAACATGAATGTGTCTTGTCCTCCATCATGTGATGGGTGCCACCCGAAACACCATGAAATAGGGCTGGTCCACACCTAACATTTTAGTTTCTCCCAGTAATTGCAGTTAATGCAAAATTAGAAAAAAAAGGTTTCTGCACTGAAAGATCTACATGCCAATTTGATTTCATTCAACGGGGCCCAAAATTCAATTGCGTATGAATCTGCCCGTGCTTCCCAGTCCAACCACTACTTCCTTGCTTCCTGCCAACATCTTACCAGAGAGTCCATGTGGTATGGGGAGAAGAAAACGCAAGATGTCTAAAGATGGAGCCCTAGAGACCCATTCTCATCGTGTCATTAACTAAGTGATCTAGGCTGTCACTAAAACCTCAGTTTCGCCTTCTGCAAAGGGGAAGTTAGAACATCCACCTCTCAGTGCGCTGGGAAGGAAGCAAGAACAACAAGAACCGGAAGATGATTTACTATAGAGAAAAAGGGAGTGAGGAAAGAAACAGGTTGGAGAGAGAAAAAAAACAAAAAACAAAAAAAACACTGAAGAGACCTCCCCTCCCTCCCATGAGCAGGCACAGTGAAATTTTAGACAAGAAACCTACAGGTGATGATGACTCATGTATAATATCCCTAGCAACTGTCCAAGAGAACCACTGTGATCTCAAAATCCAGCCCAGGTCTTAACCTGAGAAACATATTTTGAAATTCATGCACAGAAATATGTACTAAACACGTGGGACTTGGACGTAAAGCGTAATAGTCACTCCTAGTACTAAAAAAAGCAACTGAAAGGCTCACTCTGATACCCCGGAACCGTGAACTTACTTTATCCCCATGGCAAATCAACTCCACGAGAATTCTCAGCCTTGTGTGTTCTGCTGGATCCCATGGGAATGGGAAGTGACACTCGGAGCTCCGAAACAGAAAGCAGGAAGTCGACAGAACAGACTTCTCTAGCTTCCAAAATGCCGATCCTCACCACACTCTGTCGTGGATGAGAAATACGGTAAGATGTCACCCTCCCCGTGAATTGTGCACAGAAACCATCCTACCCTGGGGTGGGGATGGGGTGGACAGTGCAGGCACCTTCCGCCATAAAGAAGAGTGGCAGAGTGGGATTGACTGCCACCACCGTACCTAACAAAATGGTCCACTCTAGCGCTCAGATGCCGCTCTCTAGGGGAACCCACAGAGCCACTGAAGGCACTTTTCCTGAAGGGAACAGAGACAAGCTCCCTTTCCAACTAACTGTTGTGCCGGCAGAGTGCTTGGTTTGACTCAAGTGGAAACCCTGAGTTTGCTAGTTGGATTGTTTCAGACACCATCTCTGCTACCCGGTTTGCATCAGCTACACACTCAGCTGATCCTCCAATCCGATTTGCAAACCCAGCCCCTTTGGGGTGGATTCTCCACTGTCCTGCCCTTCCCCAAGGCTGCCAGATCAAGTTTTCTAGCAGCTATGCCCTTCCAATGTTGCCTTCATGTCTGCCACACCCCTTCGTACCTACTGCTCATTTCTAACTCGCTCACCAAAGGGTCCTATCCTGTATACTTAGGGGTGATGTGTTACAGTGGAAAGTGCAGAAGCCTGGAGCCAAATGGATGGGGTAAGATTTTATCTTAATAAGCTTTATCTCTTAGTAGTTATGGGAATCTGATAAGTTACTAAGTCTCTCTGTACCTCAGTTTTCTCTAGTGGAATGAAGATAACACCCATCTACACAATTGCTGAGTAATAAGGCTAACACAGATAAGGTGGTTGGTCCTCATCAATTTGAATAAGAATTGATGCTTACGAAGGTCTTACTACATTTAAGCTCTGTTCTGAGAGTTGTGCTCATGCCTGTATGTGCAATAATTTATTATGACTATTACAAGCCTTATTTTACTCAAGGAGAAACTGAGGCAAGACAAACCACAAGCCAGCCTTGTTCTATGGCTACCAATTTGCCCTACTTCCTTCCTCTAGCCTTTTATTTGTTTTGAGAGAAGTCTCACTATGAAACCCAGGTTGGTCTTGAACTCCTAATCTTCCTGCCTCAGCCTCCCAAGTGCTGATGTTATGGGCCTGTGCCATTATGCCTGGTTCCCCTTGGCTTCTGAGTAAAAACCCAGTCCTTCCCATTCTTTGAGGACTTGCTCCATATCACAGTGTCACCTGATCGGTGTGAGGAAGATTTTTTTTTTCCTTTCCAATCCCACCTGATATCTTGAGGGATAGAGTGCTGGATTCTATGTCAGTATCCAACCTAATCACTTCTACTCTTCAGGACCCCTTCCCTTAACACATCAAACCATAATTATTCTCCAGCTTCTTTTTCTGTAATTTATTCCTTGAAATGTCCTCTAAAAAAAAAAAAAATTAGGTCACATCCCCACATTCCAGCAGGTCCAAAAAGAAGCACATGTGTCCTCCAATGGCCCAGGTGCCATCACCCAGCTCCTCTGCTAACACTCATTTACCAAACAGTCATCACTCTGCCAACATTCATTTACCAAACATCTACCATGCCTTTTGTGCGGATGAAGTCAAGTCCTTTCCTCTGGAGGCACGCTGATGAATGGCATGAATGTGTATATGGAAAATTCGAATAGGCCGTAATAAGTATAAAATGTGTGTTGCTGAGGACAGCACTATCTAGCACTTTCTGTACCATGTCATTCACCAGCACAGTCACACTGTGCCATCCTTCCATGTCTACAGCCACCCTGAGATTGACTTGTTGCTCAGCTGTTAAAAAAAATCTCCTCTGGGCATGCCTCACCATGTGATTTCCCTTCAAACGAACTCATCTCCTCCTGACCTATAATGTTGTCACTACTAAAGTTCAAGCTAATAAACCCTGAGGGACTAACTACCCTGAACTTGAGCAGACGAAATTGCGTGGGAACTGACTTTCTAGTCCTACTTTGTTCCATTCCCCTCGCCTACACACACACGTCACTTCATATGCCGCAACTAGGAGAGTCGTTTGGAATGTTCCTGAAAGTGACCTATGTTCCTAGTCCCTGATCTTCCTCATTTCACCTCTAGAATTTAGATTCTGCACTAACATTCAAGCCAAAAATCACCTCATCTATGGAGCTTGCTTCCATTTTCTGATTTTGTTTGACCAATATTTTGTCTCCATGAAAACTTTGAAGTCTCACTTGTATTACAGTCGCTGGGATATCTATCTTATGGTCTCAATCCTCAAGACAGGTACTTTGTCTTGACCAGATTTGAACCAGCAAACACTTTTGTTGTGGCTTTTATTGTTTTGTTTTGTTTGAGACAGGGTTTCTCTGTATATCCCTGGCTGTCCTGGAACTCACTCTGTAGACCAGGCTGGCCTCAGACTCAGAGATCCGCCTGCCTCTGCCTGCTGAGTTCTGGGATTAAAGATGTGAGCCACCATTGCCTGGTTAATCATATTTAATATAGTGTCCAGCAGAGTAACTCAAACATAATATGTGTTCCATCTATAATGAAAACATTTTATTCATATTATATGTTATAATATGGAAAAAGATTTATGTGGATCCTAGAGTTTTTGTTTTTTCCTTTGTCATTACTATCAATGATAATTTACATGTCAGCTTAGTGGGTCTAAGGGAGAAGAGATCAGCACTGAAATCAATACAGCAAACAAAGAAGTGGGGAAATCTTCATTCAACCCCCTGAAGGCTAAGAGTAAACAAAGCAAGAGGAGAAAAAGACCTTGAGCTGAGGTGTCCATCTTCAGAACAGAGGACCTTAGGGGAGGTGTCCATCTCCTGTCCTTGGAATCTCTGGACTTCAACCAGCAGCCCACTGTTTTCTCAGGTCTGTGGCATCAGTCTGGGAGTTATAACACTCCCTCCCCTGGTTCCCAAGGCCTTCAGACTTTGATTAGATTTCACCACCAGCTTTTCTGGCTCTTCAACTTGCATACAACATATTGTGAGAATTCTCAACCTCCATAAGCACATGAGTGAATTCCCATAATAAATCTTCTCTTGCACATCTATATATTTCCCATGGGTTCTGTTTCTCTGGAAACTCTACTAATATCTCATCTAACCATTTATCCATCCCTAAGCAATGTTATTCATTAGGAGTCAAAAATAGAGACACAAATGTCTACACTCAATAAACTTACATTCTGAATCAGAAATATCGGCAAAGGATACAAATAAATTATACTCATAATAGTAGGAATTGCAAAATCATGGCAATTATACCATCAACCAGGTATGTGACCTCAGGCAACACCTGCTATGAGCTAAGTGTCAGTAAGTATATAATGTGAACTCCTAGGGACTGTGAATCTGATATAATTACACTAGTGTATAACCTTTCTTTGCTAATAGATGATGGATGATATTTCCCTGTTGGTAAGTGGTAATGAATTTGCAAAAATTAATCTGTTATCAATGCTAATTAATTCTAGAGAAATCAAGAAAACAGCAGCTAAAGAAAGATGGGGGAAAAAACAGCAGCTGAAATTAATAATTACAAAAAGAGAAAAAAATGAATTACATGTGCTTCATCAGCACCTCCAGATAAATAGATCAGTGAAATCAAGGCGGCGAGCTGCAAGGCGAGCTTCGTAGGGAAGCAGTCCCCAGGAAGCTTGAGAGGAAAGTGCCTTGGGGACCTGTATTCTGCCCCAGAGATCATAAATTTGCATGTGCAAGTCAGCCCCCTCTGGTGTGGGCAGGAACTTCTTTTCACTTACTCTTGCATCTGAGCCTTATCCATAACAAGCCTTCAATAAATGCTTGTGAGTGAAGCAATATATCATCATCAAGAATTGTGTATGTAGCCAGGAATGGTGCTGCACGCCTTTAATCCCAGCATTCGGGTGGTTGAGGCAGGTGGATCCTTGTGAGTTCAAGACCACTCTGGTATTCCACCCTAGTCTACAACACAAGTTCCAGGACAGCCAGGGCTGTTGCTCAGAGAAACCCTGTCTCAAGCAAACAAACAAACAAACAAAAACAAACAAACAAACAAACACACACACATGAATTGAGTCTGTGGGGCTGACAAGGTTGCTCAGTGGTTAAAGATGTTTGCTGCTAAGCCTATCACATGTGTTCTCTCTCTCTCTCTCTCTCTCTCTCTCCCTCTCTTTTCCTCAGGTTTTGTTTTGTTAGCTCTTTATTGGGTATTGTATGTGTGTGCATGTGTGTGTGTGTGTGAGAGTGTGTGTGTGTGTGTGTGAGAGAGAGAGAGAGAGAGAGAGAACTAACGAACTGAATCCAAAGCTTTGCAACATGCTAAGCATGCACTCTACAACTGAACTACACCTCCTAGCCCTTATCATCAAAAATTTTCCTGAACATCTATGCATGCTAAATCTAGAACTATAACATCAAATAAAATCAACAACAACAACAAAAAAAAAAAAACCTTAAGCTGTGAACCACAATTTGTGCTTAGAGATTTTTATCAAAGAAAAACAACTCTGCCACCAAAAAGTAGTTTCAAAGCAACAAATCCTTTCTGCCAGTCCTCAGACACTGTGACAGGAGCCTTTGTCCACAGTGGCAATCCATAAAGCCGCCTTGCTTTCATGTGGTTGTGTTCCAGCACAAGCCCTTTCATGCTCCTTTCTCTTTCACACCCTTCACCAAAACATCCTTTCCTAGCTCTGCCCCTCAGACTTCAGTCTTCCTGTGCCCGGATCTTTCACCTTGATTCTGTATCACAAAAGCCTCGAAAAACAGGCAAGGTCCAGCCTTGTTTCAAATGTAGGAAAGCGCACACACATTCTCTCTCTCTCTCTCTCTCTCTCTCTCTCTCTCTCTCTCTCTCTCTCTCTCTCACACACACACACACACACACACACACACACACACACACACACACACACGAGCAAAACCAGACCTAGGGCTGTAAAAGAACATCTCAAAGTTTGCATCCATGGCAGGTATTGGCCTGATTTAGGTGCAGCATAAGGGTGCCAAAATAAAAATAAAATAGTTTAAAAAAAAAAAAGCCTGCAAATGTGTTAAGTATCTATGCTGTTGGGGAAGCTTCGGCAATTCAAACACAAAATATTTATTGGGTAGCTACTCTAAGAATTGTTTAGGAAGGGATGTTGTGTCCTTGATCCCCCCAGACTACACCTCCATATGCATATCCAGTAAGGACCCAGCCAGGGCTGAACTTAGCTGAGATGCACTGCATTGATAAAGTAAGCGGGTCCTGATGGGGAAGAACATAGGCAGACTATGAACTTAGCTGAGATGCACTGCATTGATAAAGTAAGCGGGTCCTGATGGGGAAGAACATAAGCAGACTATGAACTTAGCTGAGATACACTGCATTGATAAAGTAAGCGGGTCCTGATGGGGAAGAGCATAGGCAGACTATGAACTTAGCTGAGATGCACTGCATTGATAAAGTAAGCGGGTCCTGATGGGGAAGAACATAGGCAGACTATGAACTTAGCTGAGATGCACTGCATTGATAAAGTAAGCGGGTCCTGATGGGGAAGAACATAGGCAGACTATGAGCTTAGCTGAGATGCACTGCATTGATAAAGTAAGCGGGTCCTGATGGGGAAGAACATAGGCAGACTCTGACGGATCCCATGTGCAGATTTCTTGCTGTTCTTCTCTCCTGGGAAGGATCACACAGATTCTAGCCACTAAATCCTAGTGATTTATGTATGATGTTCTAGTCCAGCTCTTTTTAGAAATTGGCACCATGGGCTTTTAATGGAGCTACTCACATAGGCACCTTCTATCCAGCATTTGAAACTTGTTTAAGTACAACTATGGTTTGTATACAAGTTGACACACAGTGAACCACACTGTAGCTAACTATTGATTGAGAGCACTCCAGGGACCAAGTCCCCACGTACCAGCCCTGGCCCCGTCTTGCAAAAAAAGTATTCCAAAGGGCAAGAGCCTTGGGCCTAGTATACTAACTCCTCTATGCATACACACACAACTCAATTTTTACCTCAAGGTAACTCAGATTTAGAGAAATAACTAGACTAAAGCATGTTATGCCTGCCATAGGTGCAGCATGCTAGGTAATGCTAAAGCAGTGTTCTCCAAATGTCCTCTGGATACCTTTATCAAAGCCACGAGGGTGCTTGTTGCCCTAGTGGCTACAATCCAATGGGTGGTTAACACCAGAAGAAAGGGGCATCCATCCAAGCCGCAGGCTGGGGTGAGATTATAAAAGACCTTGAACACCAGCATGAGAAATTTGATTTTAATTTCAGTCTTCAGAAGCTATCAGAGGTTTCCTTTTCCCTTTGCCAGATAAATTAACACATTAAAAAAAAAAACAGCATTGTGTGAAGATAAGTCTCGTCATCTTATGTAGACTATGTTTAAAGAGGTAGGGACCAGAAGCTAAGAAACCTGAAGATCAAAAAAGAAAATGGTTGGACCTTATGAAAGGGGCACTCAGTTGCAGTTAGACTCTGCTCAGGGTAGTTGTTTGTGGACTCTCCAAAGGCAGTTCTGCCATCCCCACTTTCAGGATAAGCTTGCTGAGTGTCCCCTAAGTCAGGGCAAAGGCAGGGAGTGAGTGGTGAGCAGGTGTCTGTAGCAAGGAACAGGACAATTTCACCAGTAACTCCCACTTGTATCCTGTGTTTTCTTCCCTTAGACACATTCGCTGTAAAGGACAGAGTAAGCCATCCTCCAAAAATCAAGAGGGTGAAAAAAGAGAATAGAAGAGGAAATTGTCGTGTGGTCTCAATGAGAGAAGAACAGGAAAAGAATAGGACATCATCCTCATCATGCTTCTTCTTGGCCCGGAGAGAAAAGAAGAAACCAGATGCACAACAGTGCCTTGATCAGAAGAATGCGTACCTGCTGGCCATTTGTGTCTTCCACATCTCAGAGAAATTTACACTAAAAAAAAAAAATCCCCTATCCTGGAAGATACCTTCAACATCACTCAATAAATGAAGCTAATTACTCTTGAGATTGTAATTATTGAGGTGTCTAAAATTAATACCCTAGAAGCATCAATACTGACATCATTAAGACATACTTATTGATCACTTGACTGCATTAAAAGTGTTAGTGAGGGATGGAGGGATGGCTCAGTGCTTAAGAACACTGGCTGCTCTTGCAGAGAACTGGGACTTGGTTCTGAGCACCCAGATGGCAGCTCACCACTATCTAGACCTTTAGTTCCAAGGGACCTCTCCTGACCCTTGCATGCACATAATGCACATGTATACACTCAAGTATGCACACATAAACATAAAATAAGTGTAAACCTTGTTAGAAATAGTAAATAACTTAAAATAAAGTCTTGGTGATGCTAGCATAAATTACTGACCCAAGAGCTTGAAAGGACACCAGAGTTGCTGTCCAGTGGTGGTGCACACCTTTAATCCCAGCACTCAGGAAGCAGAACCAGGTGGATCTCTGTGAGTTTGAGGCCAGCCTGGTCTACGGAGCGAACTCCAGGACAGGAACCAAAACTCCACAGGGAAACCCTGTCTCAAAAAACCAAAAGAAGAAGAAGAAGAAGAAGAAGAAGAAGAAGAAGAAGAAGAAGGAGGAGGAGGAGGAGGAGGAGGAGGAGGAGGAGGAGGAGGAGGAGGAGGAGGAGGAGGAGGAGGAGGAGGGGGGGAGGGGGAGGGGGAGGGGGAGGGGGAGGGGGAGGGGGAGGGGGAGGGGGAGGGGGAGGGGGAGGGGGAGGGGGAGGGGGAGGGGGAGGGGGGGGGGGAGGGGGAGGGGGAGGGGGGAGGGGGAGAGGGAGAGGGAGAGGGAGAGGGAGAAGGAGAAGGAGAAGGAGAAGGAGAAGGAGAAGGAGAAGGAGAAGGAGAAGAAGAAGAAGAAGAAGAAGAAGAAGAAGAAGAAGAAGAAGAAGAAGAAGAAGAAGAAGAAGAAGAAGAAAGGACACCAGAGAGTAATTTGCTTGATAACCATCTTCCATCATAAAGCCCAGAATTAAGCAATATGACATAAATCACTCTTTATGGAAAATTAATCACTTGCTTCTTTTGCATTACACAGGAAACCAAAGATCACTAGACAAATTAAAACCAACTCCTATATTCAAATATGGCAACCTCAGGATGTTGAGGTTATCTTTCTGGAAACCACTCCAAAATCTTTATCAGCTCTTAACACAAAATGAAAGGATGATCTAGATCTCTCTTATTCCTATTAGTCAATTGAAGTACTCAAAAACACAACCAGGATGCACGAATCTCACTGTGAATGGGGAAGTAGAATGAACATTGCCCATGGATGAGGACAGGGGTCTCGAAGTGGGAATGGGGATGGGAACAGGAGGAATTAGGTCGGGGTAGGGGATGGAGGGAGAGAGTACTGGGAGAAACAACTGGAATCTGGGGGCATCTCTGGAAAAAGCTAGAAACCTAGAGCAATGGAAATTCCCAGGAATCTATGAGGGTGGCCCTTTCTAAGACTCCTAACAATAAGAGTCTGAACTGACCATCTCCTGTAACCAGGCAAGACTTCCAGTAGAGAGACTGGGAGACCAACCCAGCCACAAACCCTTCGACCTACAGTTTGTCCTGCCTACAAATGTGCTAGGATAAATATGACACAGAAACTGTAGGAGTGACCAACTAATGATGGGCCCAGCTGGAGACCCATACTCTGAGAGGAAGCTCCCCCTTGAGGGCCAGGACCCAGAGACAATATACCCCAGAGACCTAGGATAGAATCCTAGGATAGAACCAAACACAAATGACAGAAAAAAAGTCAATGAAATGATTCCTAAAGGTATTTTGCTATACTCACAGATTGGTGGCTAGCCCAATTGTCATCAGAGAGGCTTCACCCAGCAACTGGTGGAAACAGATGCAGAGACCCAGAGGTAAACATTAGGTGGAGCTCGAGGAATCCTGCAGAAGAGGGGGAGGAAGGATTGTAGGAGCCAGTAGTGTCAGGAACACCACAAGAAAACCCACAGAACCAACTAACCTGGACTCAGAAGGTCTCACAGAGACTGAACTGACAACCAGGGAGCCTGCATGGGACTGACCTAGCACTCTGCATATGTGTTACTGTTGTATAGCTTGGTCTTCTTGTGGAACTCCTAACAGTAGGAGCAGGGGCTGTCTCTGGCTCTGTTGCCTGATTCTGGGACTCTTTCCTCCTACCAGGTTTCCTCATCCAGCTTTAATAGAAGCCTAGTCTCACTGCAACTTGATATACCATGGCTGACTGATATCCATGGGATGTCTGCCTGTATCTGAAGATAAACAGTAGAGGAGTGGATGGGTTGTGGAGGGGAGGATTCGGGGGGGGGGGGGGGAGGAACTGGGGAGAGGGAGGGAGAGGAAACTTTGGTTGGGATGTAAAAATAAACAAAGAAACAAAGAAAGAAAAAGAAAGGAAGGAAGGAAGGAAGGAAGGAAGGAAGGAAGGAAGGAAGAAGAAGAAAGAAAGAAAGAAAGAAAGAAAGAAAGAAAGAAAGAAAGAAAGAAAGAAAGAAAGAAAGAAAGAAAAGGTGATAAATAGGAAAATGTAAGCAAAACTTTTAAACTTTGGACATGAAACTGGAGAGATGGTACAATGTATAAAAGTGTTTGCCACATGGGCACAAAGACCTGAGTTTGAATTCTGAGAACCCATGTAAAAGCTAGACACATAGTGCAAGCGTCTGTAATCTCAGTACGCCTGTAAAGAGATGAGAGACAGAGACAGTGGAATGTCTGGAAATTCCTGGAAACTCATGTTGTAGAAACACAGCAAAGACACCTTGTCTCCACCAAGGTGGAAGGTGAGGACCAGCATCCAAGGTTGACCTCTGGCCTCCACACACACAGGCTGAGCTATGTGTGCACCAGCATTCACACACATAAATGTGCATGTGTGCATGTACACTGTATAAATGGCAGCAGCAATAATAATAATAATAACGAAAACCCTTAGCTATCACTGCAACAGCCTGTCCAATGAACCCTCTGAGTGGGAAAACTCAGACTGCATTCTGATTAGGATAATCAGATCTGCTACAAATGACATGGGAATACTGGTTAGAAGTTCTATGGAAGGCTTTGTTCTTCCTTGGGGCTTATGCATTAATGCTCCTATTCGGCCTGCCTTATAGTTCACACATGCCATGATAGAGATAGATGAAAACACAGCCCTGCTGTTTTCTTGAGAAAGCTGGGGCAGAGGCAGATAGCAGCACCATTGGAATACACGGCTAAGTCTTTATAAGCAGCAGTCCAAAGTGTAGGTTGGAGAAGTCCAACAGCCTAGATTTCAATCCTGGCTCTAGCAGCTACCACTTTGAACAAGTTTTATGACCCTCCCCAAGCCTCAGTTCCCCTTGATGGAAACCTGCCTGAATAATTCTAACACCCACTCTTTAGGGCTGTTCTGAAGAGTTACAAAGACAATGAAATGAAATCCTTAAAAAGGAAGCTTAAGAAGTGTTAGCTACTAGCATCATCAGAAAATGTTGTCTTTTTTTTTCCCTCCTATTGCTACCCCCCCTCCGCCCTGGTACTCTCAACAGTATTTTTGCCCCATACCTTATGGATATAGTAGATCCCATGCTGCTTGAAGCTGTCCAGTCCAGATAGAATAATTCATCCCGGCAGGGAGGTAAGGAGGAACCCTCCTCGTCAGATGTCACAGGAGAGGATTTCAGAGAGAGGGATTGCTGCAGAAGGAAGCAAGCCTGGCCTGGACAAAGCAGATAAGTAAGTTTGTTCTAAATGGCTTCCTGGGCTGAGGAGGGCCACATGCTCACAGTCATATGATGAACTGGAGAGTGCCTTTAGAAATGCTTAACTTACTCGGGAGAAAAAGCTGCGGCGTTTGAATAGTCACAAGAACCGTGTGCCTTCCTCTAATGCTATTTGAAATTGTGAAATAAATTTAGTACCGTGAAGGGGGGAAAAAAATGTTGGAAGCAATGGTAACTTTGAAAAGAATTTTATTTAGCTCCTGGAAGATACATATTTCTTCCCCTGATCATGTGGTAACAATGTGAGCACTGAATGTGCTTGCTCACCACGGCTCTTCGTCCCTCAAGGGTGGTGAAAACAGCCTGGCTCAGGTTACTCTCAATGTCATGTTTACCTGCTGATTCATTTCAAAATTGGTGACCCCTGTGCTCCAACACTGATAGACTCCAAGTGGGCCAGGACCCTGCTTAGTCCACACCCCTAATTTACCAAGGGACAGAATAAGACTCAAGTGACTTTTTCTTAAACACATCTAATTGGCAAAAGAGAGGAGCACAAAGTTGCTGATGGAGAAAGATGGGGGAGGGCGGGGCGGAGGGGGGAGAGACACGACAGCATGGGCTTGAAATAACTTGCTGTGGGGAATCAAATGATGTGGGCAGCTTTTAAGATTTCAACAAGAAAGGCGCTTAGGTAAAATACTTCTTGAGGTGAAGCATTCCTGCTGCTATATATAGTACACAATAAATTAACTATGTCAGATTTCTTATCTTTGCACCTTTTGCTACCAAAGTCTAAACTGTGTGTGTGTCTGTGTCTGTGTCTGTGTGTCTGTGTCTGTGTCTGTGTGTCTGTGTGTGTTCAAGAGTAATTTTTTTTTTAACTTGAGCAAATTTCTATTTATCATCAGGACTTTGCCCATTTTAGGAGTGAGATCTTACCATTTTTGCTTAGTGGTTAGAATAAACTTGAAGTCTCTATGACCATTTAAGAGCTTGTCATCCTTAGGGTGTTCCTCAAGCCAATAGCCGGGCTTTAGTACCCTCCTCAGGAGTGTCCTCTTGGTCTGGAGTGTCCTCCTCAGTTTAGGTTTCGATTCAGGGACTGTAACAGAGCATTTTGCCAGGTAGAGTCCTACCTTTTGCACCCCCTCACTCCTTCCTAAAACAAGCAGGGGCTTTTGGACCCGCCTCAGACCTATGCTCTTGGTGGATTTTCAGCGCACATTTGATGATGACCCTGGTTTCCAAGGTTCAGTCTTCATAACATTTCCCCCAAAGACATCTATCAAAAA